CCTCCATAAACCGGTTTAAAGGGGGATACTGGGACCCAGGTCCTCCATAAACCGGTTTAAAGGGGGGTACCGGGACCCAGGTCCTCCAGAAACCGGTTTAAAGGTGGGACCCAGGTCCTCCAGAGACTGGTTTAAAGGGGGTACTGGGACCCAGATCCTCCAGAGACTCGTTTAAAGGGGGACCCAGGTCCTCCAGAAACCGGTTTAAAGGTGGATACTGGGACCCAGGTCCCCAAGAAACCGGTTTAAAGGGGGGTACTGGGACCCTGATCCACCTCTCAGGAATAACCTCTGTGTGCCTCAGGCCTTGAGGACCGCTCGCCGCTTTGATGGATTTGGTCCTGATCCAGATCCAGATCCAGATCCAGACACAAAAGCTAAAGAAAACCTCACATCTGCATTTTTAGGAGCGTTTAAATGAAACCCAGAAGCATAAAGTGCTACGTACGCGGATCTAAGCTGCTTCCTGACTCTCGGCGCGTAATGGAAGACTGGTTCACATGTTCCTGTCCCGTCTGCCTCTGATTGGACAGGAAATCCCTTTGATGTCAAAGCTAGCTCCACAAGTTCCACAGGCCGGTTTGAAGGGGGGATACTGGGACCCAGGTCCTCCATAGACCGGTTTAAAGGGGGGTACTGGGACCCAGGTCCTCCATAGACCGGTTTAAAGGGGGATACTGGGACCCAGGTCCTCCAGAGACCTGTTAGTGGGACCCAGGTCTTCCAGAGACCGGTTTAAAGGGGGATACTGGGACCCAGATCCTCCAGAGACCTGTTAGTGGGACCCAGGTCCTCCAGAGACCAGTTTAAAGATGGGACCCAGATCCCCCAGAGACCGGTTTAAAGGTGGGTACTGGGTCACAGGTCCTCCAGAGACCGGTTAGTGGGACCCAGATCCCCCAGAGACCAGTTTAAAGATGGGACCCAGATCCCCCAGAGACCGGTTTAAAGATGGGACCCAGAGAACCAGGTCCTCCAGAAACCTGTTAGTGGGACCCAGGTCCCCCAGAGACCAGTTAGGGGGACCCAGGTCCCCCAGAGACCAGTTAGGGGGACCCAGATCCTCCAGAGTCCAGGATATCCCTCTGATCCCCCCCCCACCCCTACCCCTTCCTCACACGTCGCTCAGCTTGCCGGTGTAGGCCTTGTGGGGGCTGCAGTTGGTGTATTTGATGGAGTCGGCGTCCTCGCTGTCCGGGTACTCGGACTTGGTCAGGGACGGCCTGCTGTGGCTCTCCTGGAACTGGCCGAACGCGGGCGCCGGCTGCTGATGGCCGCAGGACACGTGCGTGTACTGGAACTGCTCCTCGCCCTCCGTCTCCCGGTGGTAGAAGTAGTTGAAGTTGGAGACGATGACGGGGACGGGCAGAGCGATGGTCAAAACCCCCGCGATGGCGCACAGAGAGCCCACGATCTTCCCCCCGATGGTCACCGGGTACATGTCCCCGTAGCCCACCGTCGTCATGGAAACCACCGCCCACCAGAAGGCGTCCGGGATGCTGGTGAAGAAGGACTCTTTCTCCTCGGCCTCCGCGAAGTACACGGCGCTGGAGAAGAGGATCACGCCGATGAAGAGGAAGAAGATGAGCAGCCCCAGCTCGCGCATGCTAGCTTTCAGAGTCTGCCCCAAAATCTGGAGGCCTTTGGAGTGTCGGGAAAGCTTAAAGATCCTGAAAACCCTCACCAGGCGGATCACCCTGAGAATGGCCAGAGAGGTGGCCTGCTCCCCCCCTCCCGCCTTCCCCTCCTTGCTCTCCTGGTCGTCGGCCAGCTCCGTGCCCAGAGTGATGAAGTAGGGGATGATGGCCACGATGTCTATGGAGTTCATCATATTTTTGAAGAAGGCCGCCTTGCTGGGGCAGGCGAAGAAACGCACGATCAGCTCGAAGGAAAACCAGATAATACAGAGGGTCTCCACCACGAAAAAGGGGTCTGTGAGCACGCTGGCCTTGTAGTACATGGTGGTGTTGCCCACCATGTGTATCCGGTCGTTGGGGTCCTCCTTCAGCTCGGGCAGAGTCTCCAGACAAAAGATCACTATGGAGATGAGGATCACCATCACGGAAACTATGGCGATCCCTCGGGCGGGGCCGGAGCTCTCGGGGTGTTCGAACAGGAGCCAGATCTGGCGCTGGAACTCCTTCTCCGGCAGTGGCCGCTCCTCCTCCCGGATGAAGCCCTCGTCCTCCCGAAACTTCTCCATGGCCTCGGCCCCCAGCTCGTAGAACTTGATCTCCTCCGAGAACATGTCCAGGGGGACGTTGACCGGCCTCCTCAACCGGCCCCCGGACTGGTAGTAGTACAAGATGGCGTCGAAGCTGGGCCGGTTCCGGTCGAAGAAGTACTCGTTCCGGAGCGGGTCGAAGTAGCGCATCCTCTTCTTGGGGTTCCCCAGGAGGGTTTCGGGGAACTGGGCCAGGGTCTTGAGCTGGGTTTCGAAGCGCAGCCCCGAGATGTTGATGACCACCCGCTCGCAGCAGTCGTGGTCGTCGTGGTCGTCGTCGAGCGGGTAGGCGTCCTGCGGGTGGCCCGGCAGGGTGGACGTCTCGTCCATGTTCTCCGTGGAGACCACCGTCATGCTGCCTGCTGTCGGCCGGTCTCTGGGCAGGAAGGGGATGCGGCGTTCAGGTGCGGGGAGCCGGTCGGGGGATCGGAGCTCCTACTTCCACCGTGGGTGTCTTCAGGGCCGCCTCGGACATCCTCCTCTCGGCAAAGCCTGGAGAAAAAAATAATAATAATAACAGATCCAGGTTTGGTGAGACAGACTTCCCGCCAGGTGAGCAGCTGCGCGTTGTTCTGGCGGAGAAAAAAGCACGCAGCACGCGCTGTTCCCTGCGCCGGATTTTTTACCGCATACATCAGTATTCAAGTTCTCTGCTGACGCTCACCCGCACACCCACAGTTCACGCACGGGAAAACAACTGCCCTGAGCCCGAAACGCCTCGTGAGGGACGGGACCGGGGGGGGACGTACCTGAGCTGGGGAGCAGCGGGTGGAAACGGCTCCGCGCGCGCACCTTTCCCCGCGACACGCGCCTCCACTCCGGGCGTAACGCAGAAATATCGCCTTACAGCGAGCCTGAAATATTAATAGTCCAG